AGAGAGAGACAAATATAAAGTAAGAGAAGGAACAGTGCATATATATATATATATATATATATATATATATATATATATATAAAAAGAATATTGTGTTATGGACTATGTATTGAGCACAACTGGAATCGGTTGATTTTGGGTTAAACTTGTCCTATAGTTGATTGATATAAATATATATATATATATATATATATATATATATACACACACACATAACATTATAAATAAATGAACCAGAAATATTATTTTATGAGTATTTAAAATATTTAAAATAGGGTAATATATATATATATATATATATATATATATATATATATATAGACTACCTATTATATATTATATATATATATATATATATATATATATATATATATATATTCACTTATTTTAAATATTTTAATTATATATATATATATAAAGAAAAGAATATATAAGTTATATGGAGAGAAAGAGAGATGTAATATTTTCACTGACAATTCCAATGTAAAGTGTAAAATTTCTCCATGCACAGTTTAGAGAGAGAGGAAAAGTGTTCAGGAATATGACAGGTAAAGATAAGTAAAAAAGTGACATTATATATAGTATAAACATTTTAAACATTATTATAAATATATCAGATAACTGTAAAAAAAAAATAGGAAAGTCTATCTTTCTTAAAGGGCAAATTGAACCTTATAAGAAAGAGTCATGTGAAGAGCCTGAATTGATAATTACAACAGCTGTTATGAATAAATCTAAAATGAAAAAATATATCTGAAAACTCTTATTGATTATTTGAAAGATCATCGTAATGATAAAAATGATATTCATACTCAATATTCAAATCTAATTTCTTCAAGGTACTAAATTTAATAAATAAATATGTGAATAATAATAATAATAATAATAATATTTGGTTCTAAATATGTCTATTTTTGTGAATAATAAATTCGCTCTGTACAAGCGGAAAATAAAACGTATATCATTTTCTTACAAAAAATTGTTCTTTTTATCTACATTACCAAATATGTACATTTGTTAATATTGTCAAAAATGCACCCCTCCCTCTGTGTGTGTGTGTGTGTGTGTGTGTGTGTGTGTGTGTGTTACATAGATGAGTTGGGCTTGCTATCTCTTTTATCATTTTTGATAAGCTTTTCGCTTCAATATCTCCCCCCCTCAAAGCAAAGAGACACCCACATAGTTAAACGTACGCAGACACGCGTATGTGGAAGTGTACATGCAAAATAAACGTTTTTTGAATAATTGGGGACGTTTGCATACGTACGAATGTATTTTACTCTCACAAACACACACATAAATGCATGCATGCATACACGGCTAGATGCGAGTGCATGTTTATATGCGCTTGTATGTGTGTGTTCATAAACATAAAATATATGAAGTAACAAAATCATCCTTCCCTTCTCTTCTCTACAACTCCCGACCCACGCCCCCGTTGTTAAAACTCAAAGCGTACACACCCATTAATATTAATTTAGAAGCGTGCACACAAAGCTGCACGCGCGCGCGTCCGCGCGGACATCTTCACGCACGACGCACTCTAGTCTTTTCCTCACTCGCGTATTCCGTAACGTTGAATCACTCGCACGCACGTATAAAAACCTAGACATGATAAAAGCAAGAGCCACATTCACAAGAAGCAGGCAAACGCTTTCTCACACATGCGCATACGCTCACACACACACGTCAAGTCATGTGATTAATGGAAAGCCCTAAAAAAGAAAAGAAAAATAAATTGAAGAAAAAAAAAAAAAGGAAAAAAGAAAGAAATATAAAGTAATAAATAAGTAAAAATTCAGATGTCAATTTTAGATGCAAGCAACAGTGACAAACCTTTTGTTGTTGAGGGCTTTTTTTTTCTTTTCTTTTTACATTATTTTTTTTCCCTTTCTCTTTTTCAATTATAAAATACTTTTTTTTTATGGGGGGGGGTCTATTTTTGTTTACTTGCTTTCTTTTTTCTTTTTTTTTTTCCTCACTAAATATTTAAAAATGATTGGTTAATTCTCAATTTTGTGGTTAAGATAGATTTTTTTTTTTTACAGCCACAGAATGGCTGATTTTTTTCTTTATCCTTTTTATATTGAACAATAAAAACAAACACACACACACACACACACACACACACACAAAAGATAAACAAAAAAAATACCTTTTCTAATTCAAGAAGATGAAATATGCAGGAATTTTTTAAGGGATTTTGCTTTGTAATTTATACCTGACATCACATGAAGATTACGAATAGGTTAACTTCATAGCATTTGGTAAATTCTATGATACATATAATCTTAATAATATTGATAAATATTTTTTTGTTAAATTATTATGAAATAAAAAAGACAGTTATATAAGACATTAACAAGAAAAATGTGAAGAATGATAGTAGATCTATACTGACTACAAAAAAAATTATATATCTATATACAATTATAGATATTGCCTTAAATGTATGCAAAAGTACTGAGAAAAACCCGTAGCCAGCAAAAAAATTACTATGTAATACTAGTTAATGACAAAAATAAAACATATTTTCAACAGAGGTAGTCCTTTCACTCGCTCATACATGCACACACACTTGATTATAATAGCACACACATATACTCACACAACATAATTGAAAAGCATTCATATGTAAAAGATAAAAGACAGCTTAGTACTGAAGCCAAAAAAAATAAAAAATAAAAATAATAAAAGTAAAAATTGATAGTAAAATATGCTACCTAATACTTCCAGGTAGATATATACCTGATCATGAGAATTTTTGGAATAGGAGACAGGCAGATGGTGGTCTTGTCAAGCAGACAGTAGGGGACACACAGGCAGACAGCAAGACATACAGACAGTGGTCAAGGCGGACAAACAGACAGACGGGCAAACAGACAGAGCATGGCTTCTTTTGGTCAAGATGGAAGCTGGATCGCCACCAAAACAAAACACACACACACATACACACAAATGCCAGACATAAAAAAAGAAAATGAACCCCCAAAAATGGAGAAACTGAATGAGAAAGAAAGGAGAAGAAAGGGTATTATGACATAGAAAGAAAATGGCCGAAAAATGTCATTTTTACCATCTGACAACCAAAAGATTGATTTTTACCTAGAAAAGCTTTATTAAACAAAACGCATAACAAAATGTATGTATGTGTGTGTCTGAATATATATATAGAGAGAGAGAGGGAGAGAGCAAATGACCAGTAGTGAGCTAAATGGAATTTATCTTGATTGAGCTGGACTTAAGGGACAGACTGGAAATAAAAAGATGACCCTTTTCATGACAAAAGCTATTAAAAAAAAAAAGAAATAAAAAAAAACAGACTTTTCTTTATATAATGGGTTATTTAAAGTGCAAAGATTTTCAAAGATGCAGTTGATTAAAACAGGTGTATTTTTTTTTAATAATCAAAAAAAATATATTTGAATTTACTTAATAATGTTGAAATCAATGTATGCCAAAGAAGAGACAGATTTTATCAATATTTTAAAGAGTTTATCAAAAACAAGAAAGACATAATAATTAGGATTTTGAAAAATGATCTGATATTCAAAATAGACAAACATTAAATATTAGATTTCCAAAGAAATTTCTTGTTGAAGTAGTGAAATGAATAAAAAAAAATAAGGTTAAAGTAATTTATGTAAAAGTTATATGTTTAAAAATATCTAAAAGTTATTTTTAAACCCATCGAAATAAAATGTATATGAAAAAAATGATTTAATAATTTTCAAGAATAAATTTTTTATTCTTATGACTTCAACATTTTATTCTGAATTTTAAAAATAAACCTATGTGAAAAATATTTTTAAAACTGAGGACAGGATTTTAAAATTAAAAAAAATGAAATTCATATATATGTTTATATTATAAAATAATAATTTTTTTATTTCAAAATCTTTATATATATATATATATATATATATATATATATATATATATATACACACAAAATTTATATATAAAATTTCATATATTTCACTTGAAATTTTATAAAAGATTAAAAATCTTAAAAATATTAAATCTGACAATCATTACCTCATAATTATATTTTTAAAATAATTAAAATTAAACTATTTAAATTTTAATTAAATTTCAAATTAATTAAAATTAAATATTAATTAAAAAGTCAGTTCTATTAAGCCTTACCTGGAAATTTAAGAAAAATGTTTAAAGATGTAATTTATTTTATATATTTTATTTAATGTTAGAAAAATAAAAATTTAACAAGTTTTCAAATAAATGTTTACAATTATTAAAATTTCTCTATTTTCAACTGCTAAACTAATATTACATTTATACAATTCAACAAGTAACATTATTCCTATTATTACATTTGTTATTTAAGTAATACTGACAATCTTTTATTAAATTACAGTAACCAGTAAAATGATTATGCTTTGTAGATGCTGATTTTGTTAGCAAAAGAATTAATTAACCATCACTACTGTTGCAAAATCAATTACTGCTGTTGTTATATTACAATGCAATAAAAATAATACTATGAATCAGAGATATTTTTACAAAGAAGTAACGG